TTGGTCCTCACAAGCTCTGTATAAAAGAGTGGCGTATTTTGAATAAACCAGAGTTTTACTCTCATTTTTTTTCCATTGGTCCAATGGAATTCCTCACAAGCTCTATATAAAAGCGTGGTGTATTTTGAATAAACCAGAGTTTTACTCTCAGGAATTGGTCCTCACAAGCTCTGTATAGAATTTTGAATAAACCAGAGTTTTGCTCTCAGTTTTTTTCCATTGGTCCAATGGAGCTGGTCCTCACAAAGCTCTGTATAAAATCACAGTGTATTTTGAATAAATCAGAGTTTTACTCTCACAGCTTTCTGAGTCAGAGTCTCTTCATTCCCGTCCTGCCTCGACGGCGACAGGGAAGATTCCTCAGCTGCTCCTGCAGCCTTTTTTTTAACAAGAGAAATCGCTCCCTCTGTTATTCCAGCTGATTCCTGCCACACTCCAGGCCCCTGCTCCCCCCAAAAAACTTTTCCTTACGTTGCTTCCAACTGGGATAAGTGCTCCACTTCCACCCGGGCCTGCCCCTGTGAATCCAGATGGCTGCAATCCCTTGGGATTTGTGGCATTTCCCTTCCTGTCCCATCCCAGCTCTCCATGGGGCTCCACTCAAATCCTTTTTCCTCCCAATTCCGTGGGTTTGGGATCCTGGGGAGCTGCAAAGCCCTGTCACAGCCCAGGTGATTCCTGCTCCTTTCTCCTGACACCATTCCAGGGTTTCCAGAGGGATGTGGTCCTTTCTCCTCCTGCTCCATCCCAAATCCTGCAGATTTTCCAACGTTTTAAATGGTGGGATCTTGTTTCCTGCAGCAGCACCATGCACTGTCCCTCCTCTGTCCCCCAGTGACAGCTCCAAGTGACATTAAAACCACCCCAGCAGGCAGAGGTTTGGCATCAACCCCATCACGGCCACTTCACCCTCACTGCGTGAGGATCCAAAGGTTGGGACATTGTTTTCCTGCCCAAAAATCACACTGTGAGTTACCAACATTGCCTTCATCCCATGCAGAGCTCCACTGCAGGGTAAATCCACCACGAGAGATCTGGGCTGGGTGTTTGGGCTGGTTCTGAGCTGGATTTGAACTTATTCTGGGCTGTATTTCACTGATTTTGAGCTGGTTTTAACTTATTTTAGCTGCATTTGAACTGATTCTGTTTACTGTTTTTGAGCTGCATTTTTCTGATTCTGAGCTGAATTTTAACTGATTTGGAGCTGGTTGGAACTGATTTTAGCTGCATTTTACTGAGCTGAATTTGAACTGATTCTGAATTGAATTTTACTGATTTGGAGCTGCATTCTACTGATTCTGAACTGAATTTGAACTGATTTTAGCTGCATTTTACTGAGCTGCATTAGAACTGATTTTGAGCTGTATTTTACTGATTTGGAGCTATACTTTACTGATTCTGAGCTGCATTTTTCTGATTCTGAGCTCAATTTTGAACTGATTCTGAGCTGGTTTTAACTGATTTTAGCTGCATTTTACTGAGCTGCATTTGAACTGATTCCGAATTGAATTTTACTGATTTGGAGTCATATTTAACTGATTCTGAGCTGTATTTAATTGATTCTGAGCTGCATTTTTCTGATTCTGAGCTGCATTTGAACTGATTCTGAATTGAATTTTACTGATTCTGAGCTGTATTTAATTGATTCTGAGCTGCATTTTTCTGATTCTGAGCTAAATTTGAATTGATTTTGAGCTGCATTTTACTGATTCCGAGCTGTATTTTACTGATTCCGAGCTGTATTTTTCTGATTCTGAGCTGCATTTTTCTGATTCTGAGCTGCATTTTTCTGATTCTGAGCTGCATTTTTCTGATTCTGAACTGAATTTGAATTGATTCTGAGCTGAATTTGAACTGATTCTGAATTGAATTTTACTGATTTGGAGCCGTATTTTACTGATTCTGAGCTGCATTTTTCAGATTCTGAGCTGCGTTTTTCAGATTCTGAGCTGCATTTTTCTGATTCTGAGCTGAATTTGAACTAATTCCGAGCTGCATTTGAACTGAGGTTCAACACTTTGGGCTCCTTCAGCCCCAGCACCCCCAAGCCCCACTCCCTCGGTCACCTCTATACTGAAGTAGCCTCTGTCCACGTAGTCCCCCAGGAAGAGGTAGCGGGTGTTATTGGGTGATCCTCCCACTTCAAACAGCTTCATCAGGTCAAAGAACTGCCCGTGGATGTCACCACACACTGGGGGAGGAAAAACAGCACAAAAGAGGGTCAGAATTACCACTCAAGGTGACGACAGCAGCGGCGAGGAGCGGAGAGGGCAAAACCCTCTCTCCTGAGAGCTCAGGAGAGTTAAAAACATTGTGGGTGGAAGGAACAGAGCAAAAAAAAAAAAAAATAGAACAAAAAAACCAAAACCTGCTGGGGTTATCCAGGTTGCTATCAGGATTGCTGACCTGTGATTGGAGCCTCCACCTCGATCATGGTCTTCTCGTGCCTCAGGATGGCGGCGCCGTCGTTGATGATTTTCAGCGCCGCGTCCTCCTCCAGCCGCCCTTCCTTCACCAAGTGGCTCTTGAGGACGTCGAGCCTGGGCTTCCCATCCTCAAACACCTCCTTCAGAGTGAGCCTCTGCGTGGGAGGGAATGGGACAGCTGGAAAGGCAAGGGAAGGGAAGGAGTCAGCAACTCGGAGCTGCTCGGGGGAGAGGGAAGGGCAGGATTGGCTTCCGAGCCCCGAGCTGACACCCAGGAATGGAATTCCCACCGGAATGATGCTCTCAAATAGTGAGAGAAGAGCTGAGCTGCCAGAGCTGCTGGATTCACCCCTGAGCTTGGTTAAAATCCCTCTTGGTGCAGCCTAAAGGTCGCCTGTACCTGTGCTAGAGCTGCCTCCCAATCCCCAGGGGACAGCCGGCGCTGGAAGCTACAGCAGATTCCATGGAAAAGCAGCAAAACCAGGAAAAGCAGGAGCCGGTGAGCCAGGTAGGAGGAACAGCATGGAAAATTTCTCCTTACCAGGAAAAATTTGCCCCTAAAAAGCAGAATTTCCTCTTCTTCACGCCAATACCTCAAGAAGCTTTACCCCCAAAAGCAGGACTTGCTCCTCTCTGCCCCAATACCTCAAAAAGCTTTGCCCCCAAAAAGCAGAATTTGTTCCTCTTTGCCCCTAAAAGGCAGAATTTGCTCTTCTTCGCCCCAATACCTCAAAAAGTTTCACCCCCAAAAAGCAGAATTTGCTCCTCTCTGCCCCTAAAAAGCAGAATTTTCTCTTCTTCACCCCAATACCGCAAAAGGTTTCACCCCCAAAAGCAGAATTTGCTCCTCTCTGCCCCAATACCTCAAAAACCTTCACCCCCAAAAAGCAGAATTTGCTCTTCTTCACCCCAATACCTCAAAAAGTTTCACCCCTAAAAAGCAGAATTTGCTCCTCTCTGCCCTTAAAAACCAGAATTTGCTCTTCTTCACCCCAAAACCTCAAAAAGCTTCACCCCAAAAAGAATTTGTTCCACTCTGCCCCAGTACCTCAAAAAGCAGAATTTGCTCCTCTCTGCCCCTAAAAAGAAGAATTTGCTCTTCTTCACCCCAATACCTCAAAAGGTTTCACCCCCAAAAAGCAGGACTTGCTCCTCTCTGCCCCAGTACCTCAAAAAGCTTCACTCCAAGCTTGGAATTTGGAAATCTTGATGGAATCCAATATTTAAGGTAAGTTAAGGCCCCAGCTTTTTGCAGCATGTTCCTTAGTTTTTAACTCTGGATGGACAACACCCCATCAAAACCTGCTACTACTCCTCCTACTACTATTATTATTATTATTATTATTATTACTACTACTACTATTATTATTATCATAATCATAATTTCATGGTAGGGAATAGGATGGTGTGGGAGAAGGTGACTTCTAGCAGAAATGAAGAAAAAAAGAAAAAAACCCAGAACAAAAAATCAGAGTTTTCAGTAAAAATCTGAATTCCTCATTTCCCTTCTCCCAGGCCTGGCTAATTTAAAAAAGATGGGAGCATGCATGACCCTGGTGTGATATTTAATGGCTGTACAGTGTCTTGAATTAATTTTAATTCCAGGAAGGAGGCCTGGATGTTTGGGAAGGACTGGGAATAAAACCCTGTGCACAGCCCCAAGTGCATGGCCTGGCTGCCAGCAGCTCCTGTGATCCATGGAGTGATGGGAATTTTATCCCAGGGATCCTCTCAGATCCTTCATTTCCTCCCAAAATCCGAAAAAAGCAGAATTTCCTCACCCTCTGGGATCAGCCTCTCAGCATCCCCTGGCCACGATGAGCCCAGCCAAGCGGTGCTGGGATGAGGAGGAGGTGCTGGGATGGGCTTTGATTTTGGGATGCTGCACCCAGAGCTCCAAAAAAAGCCCCGAATCCCAGGGCAGATCCCACAGGGAGCTGGCATCGCCCTCCCAGCCTCGGGGACAAGGCACAAAGCTCCCCCAAAAAGTTCTGGGATGTAATTCCAGGATTTGTGGAAGCTCTGCAGTCTGCAGCCGGACAGAGCATCTCACCCCTGCTGGGTATCCCACAAAATATCCCAAAATCTGGAATGCAGCAGGACTTTCACGGGGATTTTAGGGATGGTGGTGCCAGTCTGTGTCTGAGGAAGGGGAAGGATAGAGGAGAGAGGAGAAGGAGAAGAAGGAGAAGGAGAAGGAGAAGGAGAAGGAGAAGGAGAAGGAGAAGGAGAAGGAGAAGGAGAAGGAGAAGGAGAAGGAGAAGGAGAAGGAGAAGNAGGAGAAGGAGAAGGAGAAGGAGAAGGAGAAGGAGAAGGAGAAGGAGAAGGAGAAGGAGAAGGAGAAGGAGAAGGAGAAGGAGAAGGAGAAGGAGGAGGAGAAGAAGGAGGAGGAGAAGAAGGAGGAGGAGAAGAAGGAGAAGAAGAAGAAGAAGAAGAAGCAGAAGCAGAAGGAGGAGAAGAAGAAGAAGAAGAAGAAGAAGAAGAAGAAGGAGAAGGAGAAGGAGAAGGAGAAGAAGCAGTCAGGAGTCAGAGGATGTCAGGGTGTGTGTGTGCCTCTGCCTGAGCTGCTGAGCAAACCACAGCAGCTCCAGGAGAAAATCTTTTAGATAACTTGCAATAAACTGCCTTGAGACCAGACAACAGAAGATTGCTGAGCCTTTCTTTGGAAGCTCGGGGTGGAGGAGAGACTTTTCCACCACATGGAGCCACCCTTGACCTGAGGTGAGCTCTGGCAGAGAAATAGAAACTGTTCACCTCCCCACCCCCAGCACTCCAGGCCCCTCTGGAGCCACACCAAGGAGCTGAGAAGCCCCAGAAGTGGAGTTGGAGAGCTCAGCAAAGATGGGATGTGACCCCAGGACAGCTCTGCCCACCCAGAGATCCACGGGAAGCTCCTGGCTCTGCCTTTTCCTGGTAGCTCCGGCGAGCAAAGTTATGCAAGATCAAATCTGAGGCTTCAGCCAAGAACTTTTATGTAAGTTCCCTCCTTGGCTTTGCACAGCTCCACTCCCACAAGGAGCTGGGCACGACCAGGAACCGGCTCCACCTCGGCTCTGCCAGGGTTTCAGCCACCCCGCTTTAATTAAATATTTTAATTTGATCCTTATCCATGCTCCTTTCTCTTGGACAGGAGGAAGAAGATGCTCCTGCAGCCAGGCTGGGCTCTCCAACAGCAGGAACAGCCCTCAGAGCAAATTGACCTGGAATTTTGTACCTGCAGGGCATTGAGAAGGGTGGAGAGACTCACCCAGTTCCTGCTCATATCTGCAGAATGAGGAGATAACTCCTTATCTCACAAAAAAAAAAAATCCAAATAGTGGAATGGCTCGGGATTATTATTATTATTATTATTATTATTATTATTATTATGACCTTCCACTACCCCAGCTGCTCCAAGCCCTCTCCAGCTTTCCAGGGACACTTCCAGGGATCCAGAGCAGCCACAGCTTCTCTGGGAATTCCATCCCTTATTATTATTATTATTATGACCTTCCACTACCCCAGCTGCTCCAAGCCCTCTCCAGCTTTCCAGGGACACTTCCAGGGATCCAGAGCAGCCACAGCTTCTCTGGGAATTCCATCCCAGCCCCACCCTCACAGAGAATTCCTTCTCACATTCCACCCTAAATTTCCCATCTTTCAGCTCAAATCCCTTGCTCCTGTCACTGCAATTCCATGGCTGGTCCTGGAACGCCCAGGCAGCACAGACACAGCAGGTGAAGCTCGTCCTCACAGCCAGCTCGCAAATAATTAATGAAAATTATGGATAAACCACTCGTAACATTCCAAGAATTCAACCCCTGTGACCTCTGTGCCACCTTCCCTCCGCACACAAACCCGAGTGTTGCACCCAGCCTTGTTTGAACAGTGAAATCTGCAGGTTTGGGGTTTAGAATTCGACAAAGGGCATCCAAACCCACTGCCAGGAAAAGGCAATTCCTGCTCCGCCAACAGGACACGTGCTGAGGGCCAATCCACAACAAAAGGACAAAAAAAGCAAGCAAAGTCTGAGGTGTGAAATGGATTAAAAGGTCAGGTGAACCCAAGGGAAAATGAAAAGGAAATTAAAAGGAAAATCAAAGGGATCTCTTTGCTGTACTCCAGGGCAAAATTCCATTTCCCACCAAATCAACACAGATTTTATTTGCCAGCCAGAGCAAGGGGGTATTTGCAACACTCTGAGAGGATAGTTAAGGATGGGAGAATTTGGGAAAGTACTCATCCCTCAGTGCCAGATGAAAATCCCACAGGAAAATATCCCATTCCTCCCTACCTCTGTCCTTAAAATGCACTTAAAATTCAGTTCCATCAGGGCTGCCCCATGCCCGCCTCCAGACAGAGGCAGTGCCATGGAAGAGAAAACAGAGTGATCCACAAATGATTGTTTATAAATCCCAGAGTCCCTGGGATGGCTGGACAGAGCAGCTGAGGCGGATTCATTACTGAAAAAGGAGCAGGAGCTCCGTGCCTGCAGAGGCAGTGCTGGCCAAACGCTGCTGCAGGGAAAAGGGAACCCCTCAACCCCCCCAAAAAAATCCCCCAGGGTTGGAAATTCACAAAATCAAACTGTGTCGGAACTCAAAATGTCCCTCAGACATTTTTGGAGGTTCCAGGATTTGGTCAGAAGCGTTTTAGACCCTTTCAGGCAGCTGCAAACAGCTGTGATTTTGGGTTTGAACCATGGAACAATTTACCAACTTTAGAGGTGGAACAAGCAGTCACAAAGGGTTATATAGTATAATAAAATAGTTACAAAACAGAGGGGAAATTTTTTAGTATTGTACAGGGGGGTTTTAGCAACTGTACAGCGGGGTTTTTACTTTGTACATGGGGGTCAGAAGTTCTAAGATGGAGGAAAGTGGGCTGATCCTGTTCTTCCTCCTTCTTCTTCCTCACCTCCATGTTCCTGGTGATGTTGGCACTCACAGATTGGTTTAGAGTAGAAAAGCACTTTGTAATATAGATAGTAGGTATTGGGGAAAACTATAAACACGTAACACGTAATGTACCATATAAAAGATAGGAAAGCACCATTTAATAAAGGTAGTAGGTATTGGGGGAAAACTGTAAATATTTAACCTGTAATGTACCATATAAAAGATAGGAAAGCACCATTTAATATAGGTAGTAGGTATTGGGGGAAAACTGTAATCATGTAATACATAATATATAATATAA